GTCATTAAGAAAAAAGAATCTAAACCAAAGAGACCACAGTGCAGACAGGCTGTGATGTTCTTTTTACCAAAAGCAGCACCAAGGTGTGAATAAACTCTTTGTCTCTGTACCAGAATAGTGACAACTTTTTAAACTTCTGCCATCTATGATCTTGATTCTCCTGCTGCAACATTACAGGCATTTAATTTCCACAATATGTCAAAGGTCTATATGAAGTCAGAGTAGTCTGCCAGTCCAGTATGGCCAGGAAATCTGCAGCACTGAAACCAGTAGCTCAGAAAGTGCCTGAACTGAAGATCCTTGGAAGCTGTGAGAAAACACACTGGGAAATTATCAGTACATCTGCTATGGGGTGCTGTCAAAGACAGGACAGAGGGTTAGTGGAACATTTGCTCACATTTGGTGTAGTGGTTCTGCCATGTTTACTCTCAGACACCTGTGGTATCAAATGCTGCATCATATGCCTGGGTGCTAAGCTACACTTAGGCTTTGGGGACACACAGGCTCACCACAGAAACAAGTGAGAAATCTTCCACGCCATCACAATCAACACTGCACTCTGCTTTTTTTCTTCAACATGTACCAGAGGTGCCACACCATCATCTGACTCATGTATCAGTTTCTGCATCTCTCCCATAACACAAAACCACACCATCAACATCAGATGCTCAAGCCATCCCCGGTGTAAGAAGGCCGCTCTACTGCATTCTCCCCTGGTGTTCAGGCTAGTGAGACCTTTCAAACATTATGTCTGTCACAGGGAAGGGAAGGTGCGGTCTGCCTTCTCTGCAAAGTGTGTCTCAATCTCCAAGTGTGACCACAGCAGGACTCTCCCCTCAGCTCATAGTACTAATGAACCAAGAGCAACAGAAGATAGAACACTATTTCTTGTCTTTCCTGCCTATAATCTGTGAACAAGGGGAGATGGACAGCCTTTAAAAGTTTACAAGGCCCAAGTAGGATGTTGCATGGGTGCCCTTCAAGAGTTGTATTCCAGCATTACTGGCCACCCTGAATACTTTGTGGCACAAGGGGAACCTAGCCCAATCCCAAACGGAAAAAAACGGTGATACACACTTATTTCTTTTCTCCTGGTTGTATTCTCCAGAACTAACTCACCTGTGATATCCCCCTGTAGACAGCATGAATTCAAAGCAGTAGTACATGACACTTTTTTCTTCTTAAAACAAACACCACTGCAAATTGTCCCTTTGCAACACAAAGGCAATGCTAACTTCACAAGAGCGTTGTGATGCTCAGTTCCCTCACGTCTACCCAACGCATGATAAACATTAATATACTGTCAGCATCAACAGTATACAAAATAGGCAGAATACATAGAACTTATTCACCAAGAAACAAAAATGTAGAATTTTGAAAAGCTTTTTTCCAAATAAACAAGTCTGTACAGTCTGCCTTCTACCCAAACTGCAAGTCACTGTGGTTTATGCCGGAAATGGGTCTGCTGAGGGCAAACGAGTCTAAGTCTGCTTTCTCAGCAGCAGGCTGGTTACTCTGTGGCTATTTTCAGTTTAGCATTTAGATTTATCACGCTTATTTTTCTGCTCAGAATCAAAACAAGTACAGAATTTAGGTGAAACTGTTCTTTTTTTTTCTTCTCAAATATATAAAAGTTTTTAAAAGATATCTATTTTACAGAACAGAATTTTTGCAAAATATTTTAAAATATCTGAATGACACTTAAACAATGTTTTGTATAAACAAGGATATTCATTAAATTATAATACTATAACATAGTTTGCAAACCAAGTACTCAGATAGTCAGATGGCCTTAGATCCTCTTCATTGCTAATTTAATGACCAGTGATCCAGTGTGACCAGCAAGCTGATTTTAATGGTGACAGCTGGCCTGGTGACAGCACAGAACTGGAACTACTCCCCTGTGCTGTGGTGCAGCAGGTGGAGGGAGAGGATGAAGGTGTTCAGATTTGCTACTAGATTCGATGCTGACTGTGCAAACAGGCCAAAATTATTTTCTGTTCTGCTGAACACGTGGCTGGGAACAGAAGTGCCTTCTCTTTATGCAGAGGTTGGCTATACTCACTGAATGGAAAAAGAACCCCAACGCTCCAAACAAAACCCAGAAGAGCCCCCTATCTCCATGAAGCAATGTTTACTCACAGATCTGTCATGCTTTGATCCAGAGAATCTCTCTCCATCTGACTTTCATTGTGGAGAGAGTCTGACTCCTGCACTTGGCACAGCTCCTCATCAGTGATGATATCAAATGCTGCATCGTCGGGTGCAACTGCGCCATAAAAGGACATGAAAAGAAATGGTAACAATATCAGCTGGTTGTTTGGAAGACAAACAAGCCAAACCCTTAAGGGGGCAGACTGGGCAGTTCCTCTACGCTTACAGAAGCGTTAGGTAACTACCAGAACCAAGTGAAAATCTCAGGCTGACTGACACTCACTTAATATACATGTAAATTTCTGTCAATGCCAATCAAAGTCAAAGATGGGGTCAATCCCACCCTGAAAACACTCCACGAACACGCAGGTCCTTGCAGCAGGAGGTGACCATGTGGATTCTTAGAAAACATCTAAGAACCCTACTTATTTCTCCACAGCATGCAAACAATACACTAACCGAAAGCCTTCTCGGATGGTGACACAGGTGATTCCAATGACGCTGGTGATCCTTCCTGGTTGGCACTGGATCCAGAGTCATCTGTACTGTCCACAATGACTCTAGGCTTATTAAAGCAAGCTCTGCAGCAACGCTCCTTTTTTGCACCAGGCTTTGTCACCATGTAGTTGTTGCAACAGTAGTAGCAGAAAATGCGACCACACATCCTAGAAATGATTCAAAAGCAAAGGTGTTAGAATAGTACCACGTACAGATGGAACATATCGATGTGACAAGAGTCTGGGTCTTTGTCATAATGGTCTTGTTTTCTGCACAAGCCTGAATGCTACATCCAGGGCAGAACTCATAACAGACTGCACTGCTTTCAGAGGTGACGCAAGTTCTCTTGACAAACAGGATACAGAAATGAACATTCATACCTTCCTGCCTTAATAAATAGGGAAAAAAAGTTAAGTATACATTTAAATATAAATACATAAACCAATTAAATACCAATTAAATACCAAAATATGCAATACAAATAAATAATATATATATTAAGTACATACAAAGCAAATATGCTTAATAATATTACACAGGCCAAATCTCATACTCTGAGCAAAACTCTTTGATTGTAAAGACTATAAGAATATGTCTGTATGTCTACTTAGTAGTCACTCCTCTCCCCTTCAGACAGGGAAGAAGAAACAACATTGTATGTGTACATTAATCCCTCCTGCCTTCTTCGCTCTGCAGTCTCTCAGTATTAACCTGTCAACTACATTTTAATGAGTATGTTAAGATTTTCATCAAGAAAAGCACCCAGCAGGGATGACTGTTATTTGTGAAGTCTTAATGATTTAGTTTTCATAATCATTTAAATCATTAGTAGGTACTGGTGAAAACATGAGTAGGTTTCACAGATTTTAGTAGAAATGAGTAATTTGGAGGCTGTTACCAGAAATGACTACACTATTCATTAATCCCCATTGAATGTTCCCCGTGTTCATATGAAATTGAAACAGTCCCAGTACGCAATGAATCAGGTCATGAGGATAAAGAACAGTGAAGAGACAAAACAGACATACCACTAAGACCCTGAAATGTATCCACATAAATACATTGGAATAACTCTAGACTGGGCAACTAATAACTCCAAGCAAGCTAACTGTATAGGAAGCAATTTAATATTAACTTTTTTTAAAAGATTACTCTGCAATCTGTAATTATCTCTGAACATATCTAGTGTAAGTAACCAAAATCATAACTGCACAACATGTTGGATTTGTTTGGGAATACTTCTATCACAATAGCAAAACCATCTTAGTGAATATTCTTTACAGCATGCACAGAGCAGTGCATAATAAACACCTTAAAAAACACAGTCCTTCAAAGAAAAGCACCATGTAGGGTATGACTATACTTGTTTCCAGAATTGACAAACTGACAGACTCCCCAAGTCAGGGTTCAATCCAGATCTTTGCCTTGACGCCTGCCAAGGGATCTTTCCACTAATGTCGCCTATCCCCTGTGAGCTCGTGTTCTTTCAGCCTCTGTAACGTCCTATATCAATGATTTTGACCAATGAACGGTGAACATTAAGAAGTACTTTGTCCATGTAAACAATCATACTGAATTTTGCTTTTGAACAGCGTGACAGAGTTCAACAAACTGACCTGCAGTGGTGCCGGCGCACCATCCATGAGAACTCTCTCTGGCAGTCCAGACAGTGATTAACCTCTGTGTCCCCCTGCCACCTCTGCTCTGCACTAAGCTTCTGCTGGAACTCCAGAGCATCTGATTTCTGCCATAGAGCATCTTTATCTCTGCAGAGACACAGTTAAAAGAAAGAAAAACACATAGAAATTATCAGTACTGGTTTACTGCTAACCAAACTCATTTTGAATGATGGTGAAGCCTTCACAGTAAAAATTGCTTTGCTGAAACTTCTGAGGAGCTTTCAGGATTAAAAATAGATCAAGAAACCTTCCAAAGCTCTTGGAAAAGGGTGGGGAGGGGGCAGGGAAAATACATGCCAGGCAGAGAACTACGTATTTTTGCAAAACAGACAGCAAACTAAGGAGGAGATAACATTGTGTGTTATATTTTTGACTGTTATGGAAACGCAAAATTTCAGCTGTTGATGAACATGGCCATTACCTGTATCTTCTATTCAGGAATGCAAGACTGAACCACCTAGGCAGTATCCCTTAACATCCTAAGCTAGGATTTTAATTTCTGCTTGCTGTTTATTTTGATGCCAACCTGATAAGTTCTATCAAACGTTCTTCAAGGAACTGTTTTGTTCTCGTCAGGTCATCCAGTTCAGCAAATAACTTCTGGTCGCTGCTATCTTTGTCTGCTGCAACTTTGCTGAGCTTCTCACTGTAATCCAGGACCTTCTCTTTTGCTTCATCAGCTTCTTTTTGGATCCTGATCAAATACAAAGGCAATTAAGAATTGTTTTTAGCTCATGTGCATTCAAGTCTTCCCCATTGAAGAAAGGGGTCCTCCAACCTGATAGAAAAGTAGTTTCAGTGAAATTCTTCTCAGTGTGCATATTTTTTATAGCTAGCCAGAATCACTCCAGTTTTCTGCATCACAAAGTGCACACAGACCCATTATCTGGGGAACACAGGCAGCAATCAGCAAATTCTTGGACACCTTGCTAATAGCAAAGCTTATGATGGCTACCACTCTGAGAACAAAATTAGTGTCCTTGGAAGCTAACATCAGCAGTAGCTGCAAATGGAGCTAAATGAGGAAAGTCCTATAGCTGCAGGCTGCACAGCATTTGCGGGTTGCACAGAAAAGGGCCATTGAACACCTACTCTCTCAGTCCCCATGTTCACAAAAGGGAAGCAAACCAGTTTCTGGTCTGAACTCACTCAACCAATTAGCTGAATTCAAATATTTTGATGAGTTAGATTTTGTACTGGCAACTGTCAGCACAGATCAAGAATCATCAGTCTTCCCACAAAGACAGATGATATCAGCACAAAAATGTAAAAATACATGGGCTTTGGTTAACCCGTTAGACTCTGCGTGAGCCCATGCCTTGTGAAGATCTATCTCAGACTGCCAGACAATCTGCACCACGCAGGCCCACGTTACAGACCTTGGAAACATACCCCACGTTAGATACGTCAAACTGATAAGAAACCTGACAAAGACACGCAGGATGTGGTCCCACTCAAATAATTCTTACTGATTACCTGAAACTTCATGGACAGGAGAGAAAAAACAAACTATCAGAAAGTGCCAATTTTCCATTCCTTATTTAAAAAACCCCACAATATTGGTGTTTTAATTTTGTGACTAACCTATAAGGTAAAAGGTTATAAAATGTCTTGCAGTTTCATAACAGAAGACATTCAACAAATTTACGCCACCAGCTAAATTAATGATACAACCAAACCTAAACCTTGCACTCATATGTTGTGCATTTTACATATTTCTCATCTGAAGTATAAATCTGATATTCCCTGTCAGCGCCCATACACTATTTGCCCTATATAAACCCTGTGGCATATGCTACTTCATAAACCACAGCAATTTTCAACATTCTTTGGTTATTGGCCCCTTGCTTGGCTTACAATTAATGGCTTGTGTAAAGAACCCAAACTCCCACCTTTCCAAGAGTTCTCTCAGAGATGTCACCTCCTCTTCCTTCCGCAGCTGAGCAGATTCTGATTCAGACAGCTGCTCTCTTGCTTCATCCAGCTTTCTAGACAAACTCGTGTTTGCAGCCTAGTGAAATAAATTACTGTATTTTCTTACATATAAAATCAACACTTTACCAAGCATTGGACAATTACCAAGACACACAAATTATGCTTTAAAATAATCAGTTAAAGCCAAACCACCAATTAAGATATTATTGTATAAGCAGACACTAATTAGTTGTGTACTAGTGACCGATTACTTCTGTCATGCTGAATAAGGGATAGACTCTAAAGTAAGACAGTATTAAGCCTGTAATTCTTATTAGTCCATGTCTGTTGAGATTTTGCCTCCTTTCAAGGAAAATCTCAAAGATAATGGCAAAAAAAAAATATGCCCTAAAAGTTTTTTCACCACCTAGAAGTTTCAAAAGAAAAAAAAATTTAAAATGACAAACACGTTGTTTATTAAAGCTATAGGGAACATGAAGGACAATGGAGAACTTTAATTCTATTAGGGCTTTAGCTTTCCCAACCTGATCCCCCCGAGACTGCCTGTCCTCGCTTCCACCCTCTGTATGCTTCCTTTTTGTGTTTGAGTTTGTCCAGGAGCTTCTTGTTCATCCATGAATGCCTCCTGGTGTTTTTGCCTGACTTCCTCTTTGTTGGGATGCACTGCTCCTGAGCTTGGAGGAGGTGATCCTTGGATATTAACCAGCCTTCTTAGGCCCCTCTTCCCTTCATTTCACCAGAAACGCTGGCTGCCTTCTCAATTATAACGCTAATACCTGCTGACACAAACACGTCTGTCTTTTAATGAGATCAAGCACCTACCTGTAATTCTGCAATCTCTTCCTCTGCAGCACGCTGCTGTCGCTTCTGCTCCTCAAGCTGTTCTCTTAGTTTCTCACACTCTTCGCTGACAGCCTAGCAGAGAGACGTTGAGCCAGGAGTTAGCATTCTTCCCACTCCTTCAGCTACGAAATTTCCCATGGTGAATGATGAGTGCTGTTACTGCCACGTATGGGATAAATATAGCACCACTGTCACGCTCAGGAAAGATAGCTAAAGAGACACCCAACTCATGGTGGCAAACCAGCTGTGGTGGTGGCAAACCAGCGGCTGAAATTAGGCACTTGCTATGGGCTATTACAGATCTCAACAAAAAGAAGGCCCAACTTGCAAAATTCTTGGGCTCAAAAGAGATAGCCCATACTGAGGTTTAAGAAGCCTTTATGAAAACAAAACATAAATGAATGTACACTATTTTATCAAATTAATGGGATTTCTGGATACCAACAGTGGCATAAGCCTCTGATCAACTGCCAGTCTTAGACATGATCTCAGAATGGCAGAAGAAATTACAATAAAATCTCCAGCCTTTAGTTGTGTGGTTTCACATACACAGGGCAGACTCATGTTTTCCCTGGAAGCAAAACTTTGATCTTCTTGGCTGCTACCTTGGGTGGTTGAAAGCAAAAATACACAAGGGAATTAACTGCAAAAGTACCTGGTCTCAGTCTTTTCTGCTTTTATCAAAATCAGTTTTAAGGAGAAGTAGTGTTACAGGTGTGTAGAACAGGTCTTGCACTGTTCCTACCAAAAAAGAAAAACATCACAGCGGGGACCAGAGGAAACTGTTACAGTGGACACCACCTTCAGTGCCAACATAAGAAAACATTACCCTCTCCACTACTGGGTGGCTTTTCCGTATCACACGGCCTCTCCACTGCACTTGGATGGCCACACTATACACCTCCAAAAACTCTGAAGAGTTATTACCTCAAATGCAGAGACATTTTCAGATTCCCAGGCTGAGGCTAGTTGCATGCTAGTCTCACAGCCTGACCAACACAAACCTTAGGATTTCACCCAGTAATTGGTGCAGCAGATGGTAACAGAGGGAAATCCTGCACAGCTCCCTCAGCTATAATAACTACATTCATTTACCTTGAATTTTGTCTGATAATTTAGAATTTCTGTGCTCATCTGAAATTTTATTGCAGACAGCTCTTCTTGGCTGGTCTCTTGGAAACTCTGTGCCTGTTTCTTTACTGTCTCCAGCTGCAATTGCAGACTTGGGACAGCTGCGGCACATATTTGAGCCTCCTCTAATTTCTCTTGCAGGCTTTTGTTCTCCTGTCTGAGATTAGAGATGTCAATCTTCAGCTTCTCTTGTTGCTCTGTTGCCTGTTCTTCCAGTTCTTTGAGCCTTTCTGTGGCCTGGGCTACCCGCTCTTCTGCATCCACCTTTTCAGAGGTCAAGACACAAATCTGAATACCAAGTTCAGCCATATCCGTGTTGGTCCTGTGGAGGAGATCTTTGTTTTCTTCGTTTTCCATTCTAGCAACTTCCAAGTAATGCTTAACCTTGGATAGCTCTTCCTTCAAGTTCATCAAGTTATTTTCCAGCTCAGCTTTTTGATGGCCTGCTGTCTCCTGCTCTTTTTTCAGCATTTCTTCTCTTTCTTTACATTGCAGCAGTTCTTGCACGTGGTTTCTGTTGAGTGACTCACTTTGCTCTTTCAACTGCTGAACAAGTGCCTTCTGCTCACCCAAGACAGTCTCTGTGATTGCCAGCTCACCTCTCACCTGCTCTCTCTCATCAGCAGTCTGCTGAAGCTTCACTCGCAGGTCGAGGACTTCCACTTGCAGCCTAGACACTTCCCCTCGGCTGACCTCCAGCTGCTCTTCACTCATGGTCAGTCTGGAAGCCAGCTCTTTTGCCTCCTTCTCCAGAGAAGCTGCCTGCTGTAGTTGCTGTTTTTCCACTGATTCCTTTTCTGATGTGAGGGATTCAATAAGCTTTGTCTGGTGAAGGCATGTCTTTTCAACACTGAGCTTTTCTATTTCAAGAGTCTCTTCTTTCTTCCTGTGTCTTTCAGCTTCTGCTCTCAGCTGCTCACACTGGCTCTCCAAGCCTTGCAGTTCTACTTCCTTTTCTGTAAGCTGTGCCTGGAGAGACTCCTGACTTTCCTTCAAGGTGCCTAGGCTTTTCTCCATTTGTAAGCTATGCTGTTTGGCACTCTTCAGCTGTCCTTCAAGTGAGGCATAAGACTCCTTGGTGGTCTCTTCTCTTTGCTTTAGTTCTTCACAGTCTGAGTGCAGAGCCTCTAATCTCTCCTCCAGCATTTGGCTTTGCCTCCTGGCATTCTGCAAGTCTTCATCCAGCTGTTTGTTCTCACCCCGGAGCTTCTTCTCTTTTTCATCAGTGGACACCAGGGCATCATCTATCTCACTTTGAAGCTGTTTCTCAGAGGCTCTCAGCCTGGCCACCTCAGCTTCCAGGGAAGCTTTAGAAGCTTCCACATTTTTCAGCTTCCCTTCCATCTTCTCCTTGGACTGCTTCAAATTTACATTCTTTGCTTTCAGCCTCCTCGTCTCTTCACCCATTTCACTCACTGCAGAGTTTTGCTGCTCCATCTGCTCCTCCAGCTCCTTGACCTTCTGGCTGAGATGCTCTTTCTCAGACAAGAGTTTCCGGTTTTGCTCCTCAAGGCTATGCACAGTCTGACTCACCTTTGTTAAGTGACCCTCCTGTAGTTCAAGTTGCTCTGCTTGAGACTGGACTTCCTGCTTCAGCACTCCTCTCCTACCACACTCCTCCTCAAGTTTCTCTTTTTCTTTCCTTGCTTCCTCAAGATCTTTTTCCAGTGACCCCACCTGAGCCAACGACCCCATTACCTGGGTCTGGAGCTCAGCCATCTCCTTTCCTTTCAGGGTCAGGGCCTTCTGAAGTGCATCCATTTCCTTTGCCATGGTTTCCAGGCTCCCAAGCAGCTTTTCACTCTCTTCTTTGGAGTCAGCAGTGAGGCGATGGTATCTGGATTCCAGTTCTTTCTGTGCCTCTTCTTTCAGCTGCAGCTCCTCCCTTGCTGCTTTCAACTGAGATACATGTTCGTCATTGAGTCTTTGTATATCTGCCTTCTCCTCTTCTGTCTCCTGAAGCTTCTCTAACAGTGCCCGTATCTGTAGGGCAGAGTCAAGGCAGGCTGTGGCTTGCTGTCCCTTTTCCTCCAAGGCAGCATCAACTCTTGCAAGTAGGTTGAGGCTCTTCTGTTCTGTGGAACTCAGGTTGGCTTTGAGCTCATCAACGCAAAGATCCTTCATAGCAACCGAAGCCCTGGAGGCCTCCAGTTCCTGATTCAACACCTGCAGTTTTGAGGCACAGACCTCCTTGCTGGTCACCAGCTGCTGCAGCTTTGATGAATATTCCTTCTGCTGCTCCCCGGCATTCAGTTCCAGTGACTGGAGGCACTTCTGCAGGTCATGCAGAGTGCTCTGAGTTGAGTGCGAGACCTCACACTGCTTCTGTAACTCTGTGATCATCTCTGTCAGCCGGGAGTTCTCCTCGCTGTAGTTACCACTCTTCTCCTTTTCTACCTGTACCTGTTCCTTCTGAAGGCTGACAGCTGCCTGGAGCTCCCGGTTTTCCATTTCTAGCTGGTGAATACGATCTTGAAGTTCCCTCTGCCTCAGCTCAGCCTGGTCAAGTTCTACACGCATCTCTTCAAAGCCCTCGAGGTGTTCAACATTTAGTGAGCTATTTGCATCAGGGCTGGAGGGAAACTCTTGGGCCTAAATGAACAGAAGTGAAAAACCAGAAAGTTTACAAAGTATTAAATATGCATTTAACTCTCAGATGAGAGCACACTCGGGTTCTTAACGCACCGCAATGTTGTATGTTATGTTCACAACACTACAAGGTATCAACTTAAAGGAAATGGGGCTTGTCTGCACAAAAGATAAATTAAAACATACCTATCTGCAGGTGGTATTATGAGTATATGTGGTTTTTTTCCTTTACAAGATTCACATGTTCAGTTGAATCAGCTACTGGAAAATTGCCTTACTTTTAATTAAGAAGTCTTTTTGTAGTTTACCATTATAAGAGTCATAGTCACCACAAGACTACCAAGCTCTCTGGAACTATGCCATTAACTAAAGGTCTACTGTGGCACATAAATATTTGTTTGCGATTTGTTTACCTGTAAATAATTGCTCACTAAACTACTCATGCTGGAACTGCGGCTTGGGGGCTTCCATAAATATGCTGAAGATCCAAACGAGGACAGCGTTCTCCTGTTGATCACACAGAGAAAAAATATGTAAGAGAAGACACACATATGTCTTTCTACTGTTACATGTGAGATTTATCTAGTTGTAACTGCCACATACAAAAAGATGTAACTGCACCTGGTGTCTAGGCCAACAACCACTGAAGCCAACGGAAAACAAAACAGGGATATCAAAGGCATCTATGAAATATTATGGGGTTGGTAGCTGTGACTTCCCGCATCCACAAGAACCAATGCAGCCTTGCTCTAAGAAATTGCACTGCTGTGTGGTGGCACCTCAGCCAGATGGTGGTAGCATGGAGCCCTGGAAAACTCTGACTGGTACAAAGGGATATGGATCAGACCTAGTAGTTTTTACAGATTCTGTAGCACGCAGGTTATTTTACGGCCCGGTTAATACAAAATGACAAAGTAGTTCTATTCTACCTGGCAAATGCTGGCCAAGCAGCATCTAAGTCATAGCCTCTTGATGCCAAGTCAAACTGAACGTCAGTGAGCTCGTAGAGATGACCCACAATGTCAGAACTCATTTTGGAATTCAGAAATGGACTTCTTGCATAGTACCAGTCACTTGAAAACAAACAAAAAAGTTGAGGTAATACTCATTAATATAAGTAAAAAGAAGCAGCAGTTTCACTTGCAAAAAAGACCCACAATATCATTATTCGGTCCACCCCAGAAAAATTATACGTTATGCTATTCTAAATGCAAACTGAAAACAAGCAGATCAACCAACCAACATCCCATCCCTTTGACGTGAATGAAATTAAACAGCTTCAATGAATACCACTCAAATATCTTCAGAGGAGCCCCTGCACAAAATATTTTTTACTCTAGGGCTTGGGCAAAACACTGACAAGACAAAATATTTGCTATACACTGGATAATCACACAGTAAATACCTAAAGCACACACTTAATACATCAAAAATGAGGGACAGAAAGCAGCAACCAGAGTTAAATACACTGTGCAAACAGCTGGCTTTTTCTAAAAGTGCCCCTCCAAAAAACTACAAACTATCTTTGGTGTTCCTTGGCCAGGGGCAAGCTTTTCCTCTGTGTGACAATACAGAGATATATGGAAATACTTTCTGGGGCTTCGCACAATACATCCAAATTAATCCTCCCTTATGGTGTACAGCTCAGAAGATCAAACCCAGGACCTTCCATGCTTATGAAAATGTCACCTTTGAAACCAACATACAGAAGCATCAGCACCACCCACTCCACACACATTTAGCGGTAACAACTTTCAATCTTTACCAGCCTAAGATAGGTATGAACTAGTGACCCAGGTCAAAAGGTCTATTATCCTTCCCATCCTATTACCAGCTCTCTAAGCCAGCCCTTTGTAAGGGTTTCAGTTTATTTCAATAGCTACTAGGTGATGTTGCTTAATCACACCAAGCAAACACCCACTAGTTAACAAGGTACTTGGCTATTCACCTGGTCACCTTGGTGTTCATAAAGCATTGCTGCAAGGTGTCTGCCAGCCTTTGGTGAACCAGGGAGTAACGAAGAAATGCTCTTCCTTTTCCAAGAGATGTTCGTAGCTGGAAAGGAGAAACCACAAGAAAATAAAATTCTAAATATAATTTGTAATCATGTAGAGAAGTGTCAAATATGGTGAATCTTTCCTCTCACACTTAGAACCAAGTCCTGCTGTAAGCTGCGCTAAAGACGGCAGGCTCTATCCTTGACTTAATTTTTCATTCCTTTTTAGAGAAGTTTATGAAAAGGCAGGGCACAACCAGAGACAAACAGGACCATTCACTTGTGTAAGCAGTCTTCAGAATAAGTAAGAGTCAGGCTATCTAATCCTATATAATTTAATGCCCTAGTAAAAAGAGTAACCTTGCATTTTTATACTTTACATGAGAATTAAACATAAAAATTCCCAACTTTTTTTGCCACATGTTAAAAGCAGTTTATCTTCTTCTGGTTTCTGCTGCTCTCTGAAAAGACATACCAAAGCACAATCCACATATGACGCTTTATTGATACACTTACTTCCGTAATAGACTTAACAAAGCGGATTCCGTCATTAGCTCCTTTGACTTTTGCCAGACAGTCGCAGAAATAATCCCAGTAGTCTTTTCTGTTTCCCAGCAATGTGTTTTTTTCTTTCTGGTCAAACTTAAACAAAGAAAACAAAATGCAATGAGCAAAACTTAAATATATACAGCTACTTGGAATTCTGTTCCTCTCCCCGCAACACGTGCTTTCATGACTCCTCTTAGTTTCAGCCGCTGTATTCACAAAGGAAAGAGACATTGTACTGCACTGACAAGATCCAGCAGTTACAAAAGCTGCTTTACAGACAGCAACACATAATAAAGTTCTGGATCTAGTTAAAATACAGACATCCATTCAAAACTGCTGAAACAAAGATTTGTAGCAGATTCAGCAGCTGTTCAAGAGCAACAAACTAACAACCAGTTGCCCAGAGACCTGCAATCAAGTGTGGCAATAGCACACACGTACATACCAGAAAAAAATTTTGTGAATTACTCACTCCACTATATTTGCACCGTGAACAGCTTACTATATTTCTTTTGCATTAAAATGTTGTCAGGATCTCATTAGTACAGTTTTTCCAAGATAACTTAACAGGACATATTTTTAAAATCAAGCTCAAATCTTTCAGATCAATTAAAAAAAGCCTTGCACTCTTCAAACAAACTGCCAGCACTGCCTTTTGATTACATTTAGCTACTTTCACTTGTAATAAGTACAATAAGCAGCACACATTTCAGTCCATTTACAAAAAAAAAAAAAAAAAAAAAGACTCAACTGGATATTTATGATAATTTGAGTTAAACCCCACATACTGAAGAGGCAGTAAGAGAAAACAAGGCCTAGCTTTAATGGTGGACTACAAATGACACACATCACTTTTTACCTGTAGAAGGTACTCAAGCTTGTAGGAGAATTTTTGCAAGTTGACACTGTCATCTGTGATTGGTTCCCCTCCTTCTTTAAATTCTTTACTTAATTCAGTCACAGCATCTTTAAAGCAAGACAGCAAAAACATTAACTAATGCAAGAGATATATAGCACTGAACCCATAAACAACTACATAAATGGGTTTTCTGCCAGGACATCATGCCTGTGTATTCAGTTTCTTTCAGTCAAAATGTATTAATGACAGTGCAAAAAAAGTATTGATATGCTTGCAATTTAAGATCACCTATAAAAAACCTAGACCTCAAGTTATGTCAATCCACTGTACGGACTATTTCTTCTTCTTAAAAAGAGCAAAGCCTCCTTCTGAAACTTAGCAACAACTGGTAACAGACCATTGCTAACTGGTTCCTCAGTGGAGGAAAGAGAAATAACTTTTTGCTGTCTCGTGGACGTTAAGGTATTGCCACAGGACAAACAATTCTGATTAGAAAGGACAAAGCATGTAATCTGCTAAAGGGGATCAGTAACATGAGAACAGCTTTTCAGTCAGCACATTTATCTTCTCCATGCTTTATTCAGGAAGATTCAGCTTGTGCTGGTTACAAACACAAATGGCAAAAATAACTTACATAAAAATAAGCATGCAGCAACTCCTCTTCCCTAAAGCCTACACCCGTAGTGGGTGAGAAAATCTCAAGTCAAAGCAAACTCTGTTGTCTCCCTGGACACTCTAACCTCAAAATGCTGTACTTCTCAGCATCAGAAATCACTGATTTTGAGTTTGCTTTCCACTTGGTTTTGTACTTATTTCAGGTGCATGGGTGAGCCTTAGCTCCCAGTCCCACTCGATCCACTTTGCGAAATAAAATCCCTTCTTGTTAGCAGGCACACAGATCTCCTTTATCTTACAGAAAGATACCTTATATTCAATAAAGATTAAAAATAAAAATATCTGGACTGTGGTATAGGCAGCTGATCAGGACAGAGACAGAGCAAGAAAATTAGCAGGTTATGAATCTGCTGCCAATTTTGACTGCCACAGAGCCATGAAAAATGAGGTTGGCTACTGCTAGTGGAGGACAAGTTAGGTGTCCAGAAAGCATGTTCTGCTGCAACAAGAACAGCAGATCCAATTCTCTACACTCTTCCTCTAGGTCTCCATTCCCAGTTTGGCTTGGCTTCCTGTTTTTTTCCCTTCCCGCATTAGCAGTGACGTCACGCCAGCTTCCCATCAAGGGAGGGTCTAAAAATCAGGCATCTTGCCTATCTCACAGGAAGTCTTGTAACAGAATAGCTCTATTCATGCCAACAAAGTCCTAGCCCACAATGCACATGCCAGAGGCACTTTTTTTTTAATTGTAAAACTTATTTCTCATCTTGTATGCTTAAATTTGCAGGATTTCAGAATTTAGGATCCTACAGAAGGTACAGTACATCTCTCACAAAAATCATCAGTCACATCTCTAACCAGTACATCACACACCTTGAACTATGTTGCCACAATGGCTGCACAAAAGTGTTACACAAATGAAAACACGACAACTCATGGAGGATGTAGACCAGCCCACAGAATGCATCTGTCAGCATGGCACTGTACCTTGCAAGTCTCTGATAATCCGCTGCAGCTGGCTCTCGCCACTAGCTGCTGCCATCTTGAACAGCAGAGGAGCTCCCTTTCTGTGCTGTGAACCTTTTCATCCATCTAGATAAAACCAGCAGAGTCCATATCCTTGATGACCATTGGGCTGATTAAGATTATTCTTCTCTGTGACGGCTGCAATTCTGTAAATGTCAAAAATAAAATGAAAGTCTTTATAATCTTAATTGAGCAGAAGAGAGGTGCTCTGGCATTTTAGATCCCATTTAGTAATGAATTCCCATAAGGCAAACTCTAAAAAACCTCTTTTATATTTCCTTCTATATTTTACTTTTCATTTCAGTTATTTCTTCTGCTAAATCTTTCAAAGCTACTAAGCAAACCTCAGAGAGCAGTTTTCTCTCGCTGGATTTACAACACAGTTAGTCTTACAGCCCATCTCAGGCTGGCATTTCATGCAACTCATCTTGTGACCCTGAGGGAGGTTCTGAAGACAAGGGACTTTCCCTTCCAAAACCCTCTGCCAGATTTTCACTA